ACGTTTTCAAGAAATTTAAATAAGTCCACTTGCCTTCTTATAAAGCTTCCTAGGCTAACATGACCTGGATGACTGAGACATTATGGTTTGTTTGGGGGATTTTTGCAAACTGTAGATGATGACCAAAGGGCAATAATAACGACAATAGTTTTATTATTGTTATTAGCAGCAGTTTTCTATTTAAAGACTTGTGCTTTTTCCTAAGAAAAGGGCCACTATTTGTTCTCATGCTGTTACATCTAAGTTTGAGGGTAGAGTACGAACACAGTCACGTATAAAATTACTGATAAATCACTGGCTTGTGTGTAAATTTTTCTTACTCACAATTTACGCAGTGCATTTGCACAGCGTACTCCTACGTGGAATAAAATGTGTCACAGAAACAGTGTTTGTCTTAACTTTTAAAAAATGTATTCTTTTCCTAGTATTACTAAAACTTTTTAAAAATATTTGTAATACTTGGACTGTATGATACATTTTACTGATACAATGTGTGTGTTTTTAACTTATTGTAAAAAAAAATTAATAAAAATGGGACTTCATTTTATTTTATTTTGTTTAAAATATTTTTCATATTAAAAAAGCGATTCGTTGGTCATGTTAGTCGCTTAAATAGCTTGGTCACTTGCGGCTTAGGTCTTTTTAATTTACCAATTTTAAATATTAGCGCTTATTACTAATCAAAGAGCCTCCCGGGAGATGAATTTGCCTATTATAAAAAAAACAGAGGAAGTCATTACAGAGTAATTTTCCTTCCTCTCAGAATAAACATCCTGCAGTAAAGATGCTGAAATAACAACTGAAAACTTTCACTGCATCGCTTTGTCGGCCATTTTGAAAGCAGCACCACGGCTCAGTCGACAGCGCCACACAGAAGTCCCTCTGGAAAAACACCAAGTTTAGAGGACCATCCCGCGGGGAAGGAGGCCGCCTGGCAGCTACTTAAACCCCACATCTCACCAACTAAAGGTCAAAGTTATTCAGCAGAAAATAAGCCGAATTTATGGTGGAAAAACAGAAGTGAAAAAAACCTAAAACTCTGCCACATAAAAACACAAATACCTCCATAAATCTGTCGACATCGAATTAGCAGTGGTGGAAGTAAACTTGTTCAGCTGATTTGGATCAAGTTAAATAAGGTCAGAGTGGACAAAAGAAGGAGGTTTTAAGTGAAGGATTAAAAAGTGAAAGTCCAATAATCTGCCCAGATTTAGGATGTCTGGGGACTAACAACATCAGGAACTATTTTCTGTAGAAAAAAAAATCTCACTCACGATTTTTTTTTCCTAAGACGTTTGATTAAATCACTTTTAACTTGAACCCATGAGATTATATTTTACTCGTGTAAAAAATGGTAGCTGTAAAGCTGCCGTTGTAATTTACAGCCACCATTTCAGATCCTTACGGAGTTTCACCAAACTTCGTTTGCGGAAGCGCACAAGTCGAATCAAACAGCGACATTTTACTGCGGCACTTCGGAGTCGGTCTAAAGTGTTACAGGAGCTTTTCCAGCTGTTTTTCAGCGGCGAATCTGCAGCTGGCAGCCGGGAGAATGTGGGGAAAGTGTGGGTCGATGTGTTAGAGTGTTAGCCATGGTCCTGATCAGCCCCGGACAGCGCCTTCTTCACCACCTCACCGCCTCCATTTTCCCAAACTGACTTCAACTTTGCAGCCGCTCCGCTCCGACAAAAACCCCGCACAGATGCGCTTTCAGCCCGACACTTCCCGCCCTGCAGCCTGGACACTCACCGGCTCCTCACGTCCGAACTCTACGAAACTTTTCCTGGACTTCTGCTTCTGTTTGTAGTTTTTCTTTCTCCCTTCGACGAACAGCGCACGGAGAAAAGTGAACACAACTTTCCGCACATTCCTCCACAGCGACGCACGACCGTGACGTCAGCACGTCGTTCACACAGCGCGAGGAGGTGTGGAAATCAGTTCCCAATCTTTTATTTTAAAGTAACCGTATTATTTATTTATTTATTTATTTATTTATTTATTTATTTATTTATTTATTTATTAAATAGCATAATTCATTAATTTTATTCACTTTATTTTGATTATTGTACCTGATACATCCAGTTGATTTAATTTGTTTTATATAAAATGTCACAGTTACCTACAAAGATGACTTTTCCCTCATACAGAACAATAAAGACAGTTTTTTTGTTTTGCTTTTTAATTGAAAACAAAAAGTTATACTCTGTTGTTTCAGTGTTGTGCCAAAACGTAGCCTTGTATTGTTATGGAACTCTTGTGCTTGCTACACCAAATAGCCAGTTCCTGTTAAAAAAAAAGAAAAAAAGGAAGAAAGAAAGAAAGAAAATGGGAGACTATAGAAATGTCTGTCTCCTAAACAGCTAATGCAGTGCTCTTGTTAAACTCTTTGAATTAAAGCTGAAAGTCTGTGCCTCAATCACATCTTGTTTTTTGTTTGTTTGTTTGTTTGTTATTTTATTTTAAATCCACTGTGGTGTGGACAGAGACAAAATCACAAAATATGTTGCTTCCCCAAATTCTTTGGACATAACTGTACATAGTCCTCACCCTCACCTGACCGTGAAATTTATACAAATTGTAAAACCTCCATACACACCTATCGTTCAACTAGATTATCCCAGTATTGATGAACGTATATGAATCAGTATAATAAAGGGTTAAAAATGCTCACACCACTGATTTCTCAGAATCATTTTTGTTTCAGTCAATCAGGTTTGATTCCTTATTGAATGATTTTACATACTTTTTATTTTCATTTTTTAAATTGAAATTATTTTAAACACAAAATTAACATCTGAGTATATCAAAACAGTGCTTACAGACTGGCAAAAGCAAAGGAAAAGGCCGATAGTGAATTTTATAGGAGGTCTGATACTAAGGCATGAGAAAAGAACTTGTATCAACTGGCTAGGCAGAGATATCAAACTGTAAAGGATGTGCAACAGGTTAGGGTGATTAAGGGCAGAGATGGAAGTGTACTAGCACTCAAAATGAGTACTTTGAGTGGAGGATGGATGGTGGAAAGAGTGAATCAGGAAGAGCTGATGATTCGTAGGGAGGAAATGAGGGTAGCTATGATGAGGACAAAGAGTGGAAAGGCAGATGGTCCAGATGACATACCAGGAGATGTCTAGGAGAGAGGGCAGTGGACCTTTTGATCAGATTGTTTAACACAATGAGAGTAGGGAACAGCTGGAAAAGAGCCCGGAGAGGCGAAGGCGTGCTCTGGAGGGGATGACTGAGAAATGGAATAGAAGTGCGTTGGTACCTATTTTCAAGAACAAGGTTCTCAGAGTTTAACAAGAGCAGTGAGCAGTATTCAGTGATACAGGAAACATCAGGGTAACAAGACACAGCTAATTCAAGAAGATGATACCTGGGCATCATTACTGGAAACAAGTGACAGGAGCTACAAAACAAAATACAAACCTTATTTATTTAGATTTTTCTAAAAGGATCTTGGAGCAGTTACCACTTAAAAAAAGGAATGAGAATGAGGAGAGAAAGTGGGGGTTTGGTACCTCTGGGCCTCCATCTGGAGCCTGCCTAACATTAAAAGTTTCATCCACAGTGAGAAACAACCAGCAGCTTACTTACAGGTATTATCACTTCTCCTTCAGTTTGCACAGACGACAGAGCAAAGACTGCCGGCCGAGGAAGACTGCAGGTGCTGCTAAACGCTTCTGGAAAAACATAACGAAACTGATTCCAAGTCCAGCATAAACTTTTAAATTTATGGATGGATACTTGATTTCTTTTTTGCCAGGCAAAAAGCTGTATTGAACATATTGTAACAACAACACAGGCTGACCAAATACAATGATCCATAAATATAAATATGAAAAATAAATATGTCAATAAATAAAAATTATACAAAAAGAAAAGAGAAAAAAGAAAAAAGGCACACACACATATTAAATTTAAATTACTAAGTAATGAGAGTAATTTATAGACTGATCCATTTTGAACTGCTTTCAGAGACTTACTAAACAGCTTTAGATCATTCGTCCAGAATCTGCATTTGTGAATGAAATATTTTCCAATTAAAATTACATTGTTAAGTTCAATTCACGGAGAATCTCCGTGAATCGCTACCTTATTGTGTTCCCAGGGATCCCAGGGGCTATGCTGTCTG